TTGAATCAATGCATTGCTCTTGTATTCATCTTTTCTATTTCTCTCCCATTTCTCTTCATTTAAAACTCATATCAGGCTATTCTCTCCTATAAAAATGTTCACAGTTGCCCATTTTAATAAACAGAACCCATTACAGACATACTCAGAGCTAGAAGGCACCTTAGCGAATCACCTGTTTCCACTCTCTCATTTCACAGCTGACAAAATTGAGGTCAAAATAGATTAAATGATTTGCCTAAAGTCACAGGCTGACTAGCATGATATGACACTAAATTTTACTTTTGCCGATAGATAATAGTATTCATTCAATATTCATTTATATGGCAGGTGCTATCCTAGGGGCTGGAGGCTAGAGAGGCCCCTATAGACATAATTCTGCTCCTGTCACCCGTGCTTCTGCAGGATTCTTCTCCCTTAGCTGTGACTTTCTGTTATACCTTTGTATTTTAAAACAGAATTTTCCTTTTTCATGCTTTGATAGTGTCCTTATCGTCACTCAGGCCCAATTCACTTCCTCAAGCTTCTCATTTAAGTCCCATCGTCCTTTTCAAGATACAAACTGGCTCTCTTGGCTTAGTGTCATTCTGCCTCAATATCCGCTGCCCCATTCTAAAATAATTATTTTGAGTATAATGAAAATGTTAAACATGGTTGAACCCAGTATGTGATTATTGTAATTCCGACTGCCAACAAATGTTTCTGTATGTTTTGACTTGGATAATAAAGTGTCACAACAGAAAAATGAGCAGACCCTTTATCCTGCCCCCCTTTTTTCAATCTTGGTTGGTAAATATTTGCTTCTAGCATAACAAGGACAGGCTTGTAGACTTAAGCCTCCTAAATGGCTGTCAATGGTTATACACAAAAGAGAAAATATAGAAAAATGTCTTTGCTCTAATTATGAGGCACAATCTTTTGGCCTTCTACCTTCCTAAAAAGGGGAGTCCATATTCCGTATTATTGCCTTCTTACCAGCAACATCACAGGTCCCTGCAGTAATTGCATTAAGTTATGGAACATTTGTTTGTTTACTCTATTACTTGATGAATTATTTTCCTTTAGTGCCTAATACTCACCAATAGTCACCCGGATAAATGTCAGTATCTTTTATAGTTATAGACAGAATGAAACAATCCGGTGCTTAATGAACAAAATAAAAATAGCCACAGTTCAGTGTAATGTTTTGTAGAGATACTGAAAAATGGCAGGTCATTTTTAATTTAAAAAATAGTTTTATGGTCTCTTTTTTTGGTAATGTTTGTTTTGCTGTTTTAAACTCTCATAAAAAGTTGCAAATTAATATAAGCAGTTTTCCAATGCCCTTTACCTAGATTAACCAATTGTTTACATTTTGTCCTATATCATTTTCTCTGTCTCTCTCATTATATATATATATATATATACACACACACACACACACACACACACACACACACACACACACACACACACACACACACACACACACACACACACACCCACACTAGAGGCCCGATGCACGAATTTGTGCATGGGTGGGGTCCCTTGGCCTGGTGGGCGATTGGGACTGATCCGGCTGGCCAGGGGGAAGGACCACAAAAGTGCTGTGGGAACGCACTGACCACCAGGGGGAAGTTCCTGCATTGAGCGTCTGCCCCATGGTGGTCAGTGCGTGTCATAGTGACCATTCGGTCGACCAGTCCTAACAATCGCATATATATATATATGACATGTGTGTATATATACACAATTCATATATTTTTCCGAACCATTTGAGAATATGTTGGAGACATAGTGTGCCTTATCCTAAATACTTCAGCATATATTTTAGTATATTCCCTAAGAGCAGGACATTCTCTTACATTATACAGAAGAGTTGTCAAACACAGACAATTTACCATGGATATAATACCATTATATAATTCACAGTCCATATTCACATTTCATCTACTGTCTCAATACTCTTATTAATAGCTAATTGTTTTTTTCCTAATGGTCCAGGTTCTAATCAGGAATTATGCGATGGATTTAGTTGTCCTGCAATGCACTTTTTTGTTTGTTTAAAAGCTTACATTCAGTCATTAATGGCCCAGATAGTGTCTCTTTTTAAAGTAACCTCTGCTTGCTGACTGCTGTTCCAAGATTAAGAATTTAAGCCAAAAGATGTCTAAAAAAATCCCTTAGGATTAGTGCTATCTGTGCTGAGGGAATGGCACATCAACTCTGTAACTATGTTCTCACCACAGTTTAGGCACTTCAATAGGGGGGAATCTCAGAAAGAGAAAACCGGAGTTTATCAACACTTTGCAGTTTTGAAATTTAAAACTTGGAAGAAGGATTCTGTTGTCATTTCAGTCTCCTGGGGCTTGCAGGTTTACAAGGGGCCATGTTGCAATAATTCACAGTACACGCTTCAAATCCAACCCTAAATAAATATCCATCTCAGTGGGATATTTGGTAAAAACTCAAAATCAATATATTTTCATCAAAATGAAATCTTTGGGATATTTAAGACAGAGTTTGGATGTAAATATTAGTTATTTGTCATTCTTGAAAGTAAGTCCTCTTTTTAAAAAAGCACAGCTGTGCATTTTTAAATGCCGAACATTAAAATGAATGCAAATAGTTCCTCCCCCAGAAAATGAAAAGAAAAAAATCAAAGATTTGTAGTATTTAAAATGCCTAAAGCATGCAGTGCTTTGCTTATTCCATGAATAGAATTATGATTTTAGCAGTTTGATTTCTCAGCTAATTGTCTTTTTTCCCCCATGTCAGGCCTTCTTCTAAAACTGGATAAAAATACCATGACAGAGTCATCAGCTTTATCGACTATGAATGTATAGAATGTTTTGTGAAAAATATATAAACCTACCTAAACAGATTCATGTTTGTTTGTTTGTTTATTGTTTTTGTTTTAAGCATTTACTACCTGACTAGTGGGGCTCAGTGGTTGAGCATTGACCTATGACCCAGGAGGTTATGGTTAGATTCCCAGTCAGGACACATGCCCGGCTTGCAGGCTCCATCCCCAGTAGGGGGCGTGCAGGAGGCGACCAATCAGTGATTCTCTCTCATCATTGATACTTCTATAACCGCTCCCTTCCTCTCTGAAATCAATAAAAATATATTTTAAAACACAAGAATTGTACAAACACATAAAAGTACCAAGTCTCAATACCAGCACCTACTGATATCCATTACATTACTGAAAAGCCAGATAGAGGAGGGAAAGTGTGAAATCATAATGTGCTATTTTCCCCTTTTTTCTCTAAAATAAAGAGAGTTGTTTATACATGAAAGAGAGAAATTAGCTACCAGAAAAATACTAGGCACATCTATATTCAGCACATAGTTTAAAAATAAAATCATTGTCTGTCCCCTTACAGAACAGGCCTGCTCATTCATCCTTGGGATAGATATGCCTGCAAAACCAACATGAAATCAAATCCCTGCAGATGGCTCATAAGTCAAAACAACAACAACAACAACAACTGTTTAACCCTTAGGGAAGCCTGCCCCTTGCTAAGCAACAATATGCAATATATAGAATGTCAAGTGTTCTCTTAGTTTTTTACAACAACAACAACAACAAACTGTTTAATCCTTTCACCGCAGCCCTTAGGGAAGCCTGCCCCTTGCTAAGCAACAATGTGCAATATATAGAATGTCAAGTGTTCTCTTAGTTTTTTAGAACGCCTTCGTTTTCCCTAATGGGTTTTCCCCCATATTTCTTGTCAATACTTCTGTGTCACTTTGTTACCACAGTATCTACATCTATAGAATTCTGTTGTAGTTTTTGTTTTAAGAAAAGAAAATATATGTTCAGTAGACTGAAACTATATATAGAAATCTTACCAAAATTGATTGTGCCTCAAAGTCATGTTTTAAAAGTCAGCCAGACAAATCTAAGCACCTTTTTACATTGCCCTTTCTAATGGATTTTCATAGAAAGGAGTTGCGTTTCAAGCAGGAATTAAAATGAAAGCAAAGCTTGGAGGCTTACCCATTGAACAGACGCAATAAATGCAGCTTTGGAGCTATCGCTGTCAGTTAGGATCTTTTCTGCTGAGTACCTGTGTGAGCCCATCCCCAGAGCGCTGGCGTGAAAGCGTTGTTGTTTTGTTGACGATAAATATTGTAAGAACTCTGAAAACAGAGGAACATGCCTATTATGAATCTATTCTTATATATTCCATTCTCTCTTGGTTTTCTTTCTACCTAAACTTTTTGAAGAGTAAAAATGATGAGAACATACTTAAAAGGGGACTTGTCTCTAGCACTATGACATTTTTTTTTATTTGTGGGTTGGTAACTGTCAAACCAAATCAGAAATTCTTGACTCTTTGTTACATTAAAGTGATTCCTGATAGTAACTCTTGGGAAGGACTTAGTTTTATTACTCTATAAACTGAAAGTTGTACTTTTTTCTGAATAATGTGAGATTATTTTTCTCCCTACCTCTAATGGATTTATTTTATATATAATCTACTCTCTATCCAGATTGATCTATATGCTAAGTGGCATTAGGTTATATGTGGACACTGATTTGGCTCTGAAAATATGCCATGCTCCTAACTTTAGTGAAAATATAAAATTCAAAAGTAACATGATATGTATAAGGTTGATTTATAATATTCATATTGATAGTCAATATAGCACTAGGCATTAAGTTGTATAATTCTTCTTTAATGGATATGATAATGTAATATTCTCTAACAATGTCTGACTAGGTTAGTATTATTTCTGTTTTCAAACTGAAAAATTATAGTATTAAAAGCACAATTAATTTTCCAGAAAATCAGTGTATAAACTACTCACACAACTTTAAAATTTCTATCTATCCAATGCTATATATACTAATACATATACGTACATTATGTTGTTATTTGGATGTATGCATTGCAAGATTTTTAAATACAAACATTAAATCATAAAATGTATCAATTATATTTATGACAATTTGAAATGATTCTGAACTATGTGTAGTCACCTCACCACTGTGCATATTGTTTTCTTTTTAGAAAAAAAGAATCTGGAAGAGAGAAAACAGAGACCAAAATACCCCTGAATTTCTAACAGAACAGTAAGTACTTTTATGACACAATAATTATACTAGCACTGCTATAAAATTAGAAGAGCTTCAAAATTCTTTTACAGAAATTGTCACCTTTGTATTTGCTAAGATAAGAAATGAACATACTAAGTAGGTGGAGCCTTCTATAACTCAATTTCAATTTGCTGTAGTAAACTGAAATCACTTATCCTATAATCCTCTTAGATAAGCAGCCAAGGTAATCCTTGTCTTACATCTTTGTGGCAGAAAATGTTTATGTTGGTTTCATCATATCTTTTGACTAGCATCATATCTTTTTTAAATTCTAAAGAAGAAAAAAGTAATAAAATTTAATCAGATGCCTCACATGTTCTGTATGTGATACAAAACTTATTTATTTTGAACAAACTTTGAAACAGAATCAATATGCTTGGGGGGTTTATAGGAATTAAATTAGAATTATAAAACACCATCTGCAGGCTTAAAATTTATAGCTTCATCTCATCAGTACACTTCTTCTCTATCTTCTCACAACTTTACTATGACATGTCTTTTCTAGTATAGCTATTATTTGATAGTAATAATTCTTTTTCTAAATATGATTCTACTGAACAAAATTAAATGCATTCTTTATATCATTTGTATGACAAAAATGGTAACATTATAATGATTTCCTAGATATAAACATTATAAATTTGAATATGTGAATATCAAATTAATTTTTTAAAGATAGAGATCCACTTTGACCCACTTTATATCACTTTTAATGCCATGATTGTTTTGACGAGTTTGCAAATGTAGTTCTCTAAAATTTAAAACAAACTTTAATGTGAATGTAGTGAATTAACAAAATGATAACTATATATAATAGAAAGGTGTGTGATATAAAAAAATTCATAAGTAATTTTTCTAGGATATCTACAACGTATATTATATAATAAAATTCTAGCTTTCAAAAAACTTTAATGTAAAGTCACATCTTAGTTGGAATGATTAAACATAATTAATCAAGATGATGATGCAATACATTTCACTTATTGTACTTATTCCAGAGGAGCAATGGGAGAAAGATGTTTCTTTACTTCCCTGAATATCATGTCCATCTTCACTTTCCACAAGCACTCTACCTTCACTTTGTGCTGTAGTTATGGGTAAATTTTTAAATCTGAGATTTATAAGATCCAAAACTTTCAAAAATTGTTCCTTAATTTGAAAATTAACTCTGAATATGTGAAATGCTGTTTTGAGGTGACAGAGCAGGTTATGAATAAGTTTACATAGTTCTGGATATAAGAAAGATAATTTAAGAATCAGATTTCCCTATCATGTAAAAAAAAAAAGAAAGAAAAGCAATCTCTGCCCATCTGAATAAATTGCAAGATATGAAATAAATGAGCAATTTTGACATTTTTTTTCAACATCTTACTGACCAGAGAGTTAACGTCTCTCAGCACCTAGCAATTGTCCCACAAAAACACTAGGCTCTCTTAAAGTTTTGCTTTTATGCATACAATTCAGTTTTTAAACATAATTTCAATTTTGTACATTACTCACTGTAAAAAGGTTAGATTTTTTTAAATGATAGAATGTTTAATCTCCTTATATAAGAGCCAGATATTATCTGTCTTACCCCTCCCAATTTCTTAGTCTCATAATTTCACTGTGAAAAGCCACCAGTGGCCATTTTTCTGATCTGACTTATTTGTTATTTGGTCCATTATTTAGGTATGATACATAAGTTATTTGATTTGAATTGTAATTTTCATAATCGCATTGAAATTTTATTTAGTATGGCAAACTCTGGAGGGAACTGATTCCAGTAATGAGATCTGCTCATTGGAATAATCCCAGAGAAAATAATGTACATGTCTTCAAGAAAGAAAGCATGCTTTTATTGGTGCATTTGTTGTTTGGGGCAGTTTTTTCTTTCAGGCTTTAATTGTCCTTAGTTTTTTTAAAATTTATCTTTCTTGTTGAAAGTATTACAGATGTCCCCCCCCCCCGATTTTTTTTGCCATTGACTCACTACATCCCACACCTGTCCTTCCCAGACCTTCTTTAATTTATCAACTACATACTAAATAACTCTAAGAAAAAAATGGCTCTTAATTCAAGCTCAAATAATAAAAAAGTATAATTTATTCTTTAAAAAAATATAAAATGTTTAGGAAGAGAAATACTCTGAATTAAAATGATACTGTCAAAACATAAGTATCTTAATGTATGTCTTGACCTTCAAAGAATTCATGAATTAGAGGTGTCAGAACATGGAATGAATCCTGATGTAAGGTGAGAACATTAGATAGTACAGTGACTAGTTCTCTTCCTCATCTGTAGACTATATACTTGTGTTGTAAGCCCATGAATAAGTGACTTTTTACTATTTGTATTTGAATCAAACTTATAACTGAAAGATTTTTATCATAGAAAGCCATAAAAATACTTATAATTTTTCCTCAAAGCCCCATAGATTTAAAATGATTTGGATAGTTGATTAAAATATTACTGAAGATCTTTGGAGCACATTGAATAAATTTCACAAAAAGATTTGTGCCTAAGAAAGTTAAGGAAAATAAGGAAAGGTAAGAAAAGAACCTTTGGAAATTGTATCTTGAAATACTTTTTCTCTTCAATTGCTGAACACTCAATGGTACTTTTAAGAACTCCATGGGTCCTCTCTCTATAGATTCTGAATACACTAGATAATAACAAAGAGGATAGATTTTAAAAACATTCAGAAGCTCAGTAGTGCTTCTTAGAAACTATTCATATTATCCTAGATTTTCTAAACCTCCTTAAATACTGCTGGGGGTTGTTGATTTTCTCACTCAAAGCATGACTATGATTAACCATCTCACTTTCCTGACACATCAGATAGAAAAAGAAGTATTCCGTAAGAAAGGACCTAATGGAAAGCAGATTTTAACTAGGAAAGTGTTTTGTGGTGCATTAGAGAATAGCTATTATTTGCAAATGCTCCTCGGAAATTTAATATAATCAAACCTTTATCTATTTGAAGTAACAAGTCCTTGTAATCAAAAAGTTTAGGTGTGTATATTTAATAGTAGCATAGAGCTAGGAAAACATTATCTAGTCTAATAGTCTCATTTTATAGGTATTACCTCCTTTAATATCCTTATTTATGGAGGTGATGCCATTGTAATAACCTGGCTATTACTTAACAGGAAAGGAGTGAAAGGGGAGACCAAATAACATACACATTCCATTCACTCTCCAAGTCTGCTCCCCCCTGATTGATGGGGGAAGGGACTTGACAGAAGAAGTTTAGACACATGCCCAGTAAGGTCTGAGTCACATGGGAAGGGGCCTACCTATCTACCTGTCAATCACACCTGAAAGCCACTCAGTGGCCAAAATGGGTGTGGCCACCGCAAGTGCATGAAACCTAAATATATAGACTTCCAAACAACAGAAGTTCTTGCTCTCTCTTCTCCCTCTTGGGACTCCTGTGGCAGGGGATGTGCTCCCCTGTGCCTACATGGCTCACGGCCATGTTGGACCCCACACATGCACTGGTGGACTTTAATTAGCTGACATACTGAATTACACCTGGATACAACATGGAATGGAAGCTCTGGGCTCTGGCCTCGTTTCTGCCTTGCTGAACTCCCAGCTGCCCCTCTTTCAGGACTGGCTTGGGGAAGTGGGACATTGGAAACTGAGAAATGTAACTCCATCCACATCCCATCCTCCCATGCGAGCCTTAGAAAATTCGTTTTCTGAAGATATCGCAAAAACCTCATTCCCACTGTGTCTGGGAAATCTAGCCCATCAGTTCCTCTGGCATTAGAGGGACAGATAAGTCATTTATGCTAGCTCTTAATAGCTAGTGGCAGATCAGGAGAAATCTGGCTTAAGTAACCAATCTCTATTTGTTCTGTCTGCCATATAAACTGAAAGTGCTTATATTAAAAATGGAGGATCTTGAATGGGTTCAAGAAGCCTCTTAAAATTCAAACTTCTTTCAACCAAAACTCCAATTAAGTTTTATATCAACTCTGCCTAATATCCACCTTATGTAGACATAGCTCATTAGGATGATGTTTATAGTAGAAAGAATTACTATATTACACACATAATATATAGAGAGAGAGTGAGTTAGGGAATCTGAGGCTTGGCTTTGTCCAACTTTCCTTCTGATAGGGAAGAGTCCAATAACATATGGAAAAGTGATAGCATTCAAGATCACATACCTATAAAAATACTGTATAATAACACATAATAATACATGCATATAATCTCTCAACAGCAACAGTTAAGCAATCTCTTTGATTCTCTATTTTCTTATCTGGATAATTAAAAATAATCTTCCCAATCTACTTCCCAAGACTCTCTCAGATCAAATTAGATATATAGGGATTACTGTGGTGATGTTTAATTATAAATTTTGGCTGTTGCATTGTTATATAAAAGCTTATATTATATTACTGTAAAAGGAACTTTTGTGTGAAATTTTGCCTTTACTGTTTTGGGAATCCAATGTATCATTTACAAAAGTGTGTTGCTGATTGATTTCTGTTTTAGTCAATAATGGTCATCCAGAAAAACAATTCATTTTCCTTGAATTATAATTTACCCTTTATTCTGATTAGCTTTCTTAAGCATAGGCCTAAAAGAGTACTTACATAAAAGGAAGAGAGTTAGGAAAGGAAAGGGTGACATTTATTGGGCTCCTAGTTTGTGTCAGATATTCTAGTAATCATAGGATTAAATTTAATTTAATTATCAAAAGAAGCCTTTCTATATTATTATGGTTTTATAGATGATTAAAATGAGAAAGCTTTAGAAAGTTAGCCTAATTAGAAAATAGCAGAGCTACTATGTGAACTCAGGTCTGTCTGATTACCCCTTCCTTTCCGAGTTATCCTTCTTAACTAAACACATTACAACTGCTGAAGGCAAGGCATATTTCATTTTCTTGTATGAATGATGGCATGATAGGAGGAAGTGGAAATAATGACTATGGCACTTTTTAAGACGTTATTTGTCAATGCAAAGTACATATATTA